AAAAGAAAAAGTGCTCAAAGTCAGGAGGCGCGAGTGCCGTTCTTTGTTTGCCCCTCCCATAACTCCCTGCTTAGCTTCTAGCGCTTTCGTCAGGACGAGAGAAGAGAGGATGCGATTGCAGCGTGCGACAAATCTTTGTAACTCTGCTCGTACTGGACAGATTCTTAAAATTTTTGCGGCGTTAATTTTTTTTTTGGGCAATACGCTTTTCCAGGAAATTAAGTTCATGGTTACTCAAGAAAGTGTTTCAGGGCCCCTTTAAAATGACTGGGCGATGTCCAACAGGATGTGATGCTTGCAATTAGAAGCGATTCGCTCAGGGTGCGTTAATCATGGCTCCTGCGTTTTGAAGAGCAGTCAAGTGGAGAAGGAATACCCGAAGGCAGCATGCGACCGAACAGTGGTGTTTTCTAGGCGGTGACGGTGAGTGTGAAGAGTCGCGTGCGGTGGCCGCGCTTTTTACTCACGCAAAGCTGGACGACCCAGCGCGTTCTCCAGTGGCGTCCAACTGGAAACAGGCGGATACGGCGCACCTGCATCTGCCGAGGAGATCGGCCAGTGTCAGTGACTCAAAGACGATGACACAGCACGCCAAGACGTTTAGGGTGCGAAACCGCCTTTTATGTGCAAGTGATCGCAATAAATGCTCGTCGGGTTGGCGTTTGTTCACGGAATCAGGAGGGGAATAGGTAAACGAGCATTGTTACTTTGTGTATGGACATATAAAAAAAACAGGAAAAGATGAAACATGAGGTGTATGTCGGACTTTTAAAAGACGTTACATACTCTGTGTTCCGTACTTACACGAACTAGTTAGCACCAACCGCGCAGTGACCAACGCTTCTAATTCTGATTCACTCCACTCAAGATTATAATTTCACTTGCGTTTGCAAAACGTAAAATTTAGTAGCAAGTTTTCATTGCCGAGTTATCTGTGTTTATAAATGAGACGATTGTCACCGTTTACAATGTTATTTGTTATATGGCACAGCTTTGCTATGTTTGAGCATGAAGAAAAGAGGCAACGATGAAGACGGGAAAGACGCACAACAACAGGATGAGCGCAAATCCCGTTATCCGAGTTTCCCTTCTTCAATGTTGCCTATTTTCTTGATGGTCAAACTGAGCTGTGGTATAAAAATATGACCTTGTAATGCACCAACGTGCCCAATCTTCAGTGTGTGCTTACAAACGAGCAAGTACCAATCTCTATGTTTGCACAGAACATTGGCAGTTGCCTGAGCCTGTCCTTGCGCATATGGTGCTCCTAAACATGCCAGATATGCCCTGGCAGACGCAATCCACAGTTCGCGAAGGCGCTCATCACATCATTGGAAATTCGCTCCAAAATGCAGAATTTTTTTTTTAGATTTCGACACTATCGACTGCACTCTTTACATATTGTTTTGTGAGGGGAAAAACGCTCGAGTTATATACGATAACAACACGCGAACTTGGAAGCTTTTAGCATGCATTCGCGATGGTGCACCTATTCATACAAAATAAGGCAGTGACAACCTGCGTACAGCCGGAAATCCATATATGCATTAAAGGAGCCGCCACTGGAGCACCTTGAAAATGAGTTAACGTTTTCTTAGTGCTTTATAACCCTTAAATACTGGAGTTACAAGGTATTGTACGGCATATGTGTACGCCCAAGCAAACATTCACGTAGCTTGTTGCAACGAATACCTGCAGCTTAACTCTGGAGTGCGTTCTCTGCCCAGCTTAGAAAATGTGTGCGGCTTCAAAGAAGACACGGAAACGAAGAAGGAAAATATCATCCGTCGCTATACCACGGCAGCAAAGCGTACCCGTGAACGTGTATACTAAGCGAAATATCGCGCTGCGTAAGCTAATCACAACCCATGTGCCGAAGTTGACAACTCATCTCTCGATTGTACTGTGGGGTGAGTGCAGGCTACATCGGACAGGTATAGCAACTGACGAAAGCTTCCATCGCTTTGAAGGACGAAGCCACGAGGAAATTCACACCGATTTCCCAAAAAAAGAAAACTTGTACTTGAAGAAAAAGTTATCCTGGTCAGGCTATCGAACCCGGTACCAACGCCTTTCCAGGACGGTTGCTCTGCCAATCGACAACTCATTTGCAGACAGCAACTGTGTACAGATAGCACATTCGGCTCACTAACCTATTTGTGTCGTCGAACGAAATCTGTGTCGTTGTTACATAAAAACACAACCTGCGTGTCATTATTATTCTATTCGACAAAGCTTTAAACGAAGCGATTCTCTATTCTGATCAATGGCGGCTGCATTTTAGATGGAGGCGAAAATGCTGCAGGCCCGTGTGCTCAAATTTTGGTGCATGTTAAAGAACTCCAGGTGGCCGAAACTTCTGGAGTTCTCCATTACGGCGTGTCTCATAATCATATGGTGGTTTTGGGACGTTAAACCCCACATATCAGTCTATTCTGATCAACGTTCGGACAGCGAAGAATTCCATGAATACCCCCTTAGCTTCGGAGTAAAAACTGCATTTGTTTAGTGCCTGTATGCACTTTTGCAGAGCCTTCTAGATGCAAGCTTATGAAAAGGAGGCACTAACGAAATTGCAGGCAGCCTCTCTGTTCCAGTCTTACTGTCGGCATCATGTGGGTAACAATACTGTTATAGCGAAATTAGTGAAGTGATGAAGCAAGAAACAGGCATATATGCAAGAATGCGTCAATAAAGAGAGGAAATAACATTACAAAATCATTTTGCGCTTCTTGCTTTGCCATTGTCCGTCACGCTACCAAGTTCTAATATTCATTACCGGCTAACTCTGAAACACTGCCTCAAAAGTTGAAAGACTCTGGTGTCATTCACTACCAGATACATCGCTAAAATGCGCATATTCTTTTGTGATACATTTTTAAGGTATTTTGTTAAAAAAGCGTGCAAGAATACCAGCACTGTGTAGATATATAAATAACCATACGTGGTTTTCTAACAAGTGGCAGGAATAGTGTTCCGAATACTGCCTCAAAACTGTTTGGACTTGCACGAACAAGTTTTGACTCGTATGTACAAAATCATGCCCTTTAAAACAATGCTTTTCTGTATCTTTTTTTTAAATAGAGGTAGAGATGAATGGCTCGCATCACCTCCGCATTGACAGTTTAAGTGTTCATATTTAAAGTCAACGTACTCAAGAACGTCGGTATCAGAACGAACATCCTATGACGACACAAAACCGATTCTGACGTCGTCTCTTGCCTGCGCTTGTTCAAGAAACTCTGGTAGCTGACGAGCCATCCTAATAATACTTTAAGGTCACCTAAAACAGCGTGATAGTCCTTCTTCGCACACTGAACCTAACAATGGTGCTGTAGAGAATTGGCTGGTATCATAAAACAGACTAGAGAATTTGACAAGCTACTTGAAGTAATGGGCTACATCCAGCGCTGACAGCGCTCATTGAGAGAATCGGTCGATGACAGCGGAGAATGGAATGGACAAGTCGTATAAAACTGATTAGTAAGCCCGCAATGTACGCGAGGACAGTCTTTGGATGCGTCTGGGCTCGGCTCAATATATTGACTGCAAAGGCGGCGCTTTGTTGCGCCTGACGTGGGACTTTGATGCGACATGATCGTACGGACGGAGAGAATAGGCAGACGTGATCTGTAAAAAATAATAATAGTTATCTACAAATGCCCATGACTAGAACTTTTGGACGATTCACTATCACTCACACATTCTCTTCCACTCAAAGCAATACCAACCATAATCTCCAACACTTTGAATCGGCTACTGAAGTTGCTTAAGCACACGCGTTCTTTGCAATGTGAGGCGCAAAATAAGTATTTCATGTGCCGAGCCGGAGACAAAAGGCTTATATACGATTGGGGAGCACAAACAAAAATTTGTGTAGCACGTGGAGGGTTGTCTGACTGGTGCAAGCGACGAAAAGTAGCGACAAAAGCACACAGTGAAAGGCCACGTTTGTTTATCATTTTGCACATAAAATGTGTTAGTAAGGGCCCAACACCCGCATGTATGAAACAAAAGGAAGTATTAGCTTCTTCTTAAGTTAGGAGAAGGTTCCACGGACAGCTCTCAGAATACGAAGTTGCTATCCTCCCCACGTAAAATGTGAAAGCAATCTCTCTGGCTTTGGTGCTTCAAGTACGCATATTAATCTTTTGTCGCAATAATGGGGACGCTCCGGTCAAGTCAATCGAGATCTCGACACACACCTCGAATCTCGGGATCTAGCTGCACAAAGAACGGAGATGCTAGCGAGTCTAAAACATCGCCGCGTGTCTTCGGTGACAGATTTGTCGACTCGGCGTGAGACGCGGCCGCAATGACCCAGCGATAATGTTCCCCCAAACGTTCAGCAATCCCTAAATGGTCTTCGTAGGCAGCAAAGAACGTAACCGGCTGCTGACGTACAAAGCGCCGCCCATGGCTTGTTTGGTGTAGTCCATTCATGAGAGGACGCACAGTGGATGAGATGGTGCGATATCCTTCGCCCTCAGTCTGAGGTGACGTCGACGTGGTACTGAAAAGTGAGGTGCGTACGGTACAAGTAAGTCGCTGGGATGGCAGTACATGTTGCGTGAACCGCACTCTGAAAACGCGTGGGAGTTGGTTGGCTTCGGTGCATTTGTCGGCCAGTAGGGGAGGTGTTGCTCGTATCCGGCACACCTCGCACGATGAACGGAGCTGGAGGACCGGCATAACCGGGAAAAAGCATGCGGGTGTGTGGCGTACTCGGCGGGGCTCAGTTCTACACAAGTTCGGAGGGGTTAGGTATAGAGAAGAACGTGCACAGGCAAAGTATAGAGCAGGCATGGAATGTAAGAGTGTGTTGTAACGTAGCAAAAGAGGGGAGCGTGTTCGCCCCGGGCCTACGATTCGCCCAGGAAAAATATGCGTTTCTGCGTTGCAGGGAGATCGTGTTGGGAGCCGTCGTCGGGGATGGGGCGAGTCTGCAGAGGTGCGACGAGTGGTGCGCAGGAGGACTGGGGCACTGAGTGGGCTCTGACCTGGTACTTCTTCTTGGAGCACCTCCGGCCGCAGCAGGACTGGAGCAGCGACTTGTCCTCCGAGCCCACGGACGGTACTGGCGACAGCGGCGGTGTCGAAGATGGACGGTTAGGTTGCCCGTTGTAGGGCACCTCGAGCTCCACGAACTCCCGGTCCTGTCGGCGTTTCGGCGCAAGGCATTGCAGCGTCAGCGTTATGGCACTTTACACAGATAACTGCCAGTATTTAGAGTGGCTCTGTGACAATAGATGAAAAATTGGTGAACGCGGGGTGTCGCTGGAGCCGACTTTTTGATTAGCGGACTTTTCTTTATGGTTGCAAGTGTCCACTTGCGTCGGCTTCAGTGAAACCTCGTGTTAACGAACTTTTCATCTCGTCAAGGTTCCACCTTTTTCTGCGACAACAGAACGCAGACACTTACACAAAAGAAGTTGAAACTTGTCAGCAGCACACTTTACTTGATAGTGCAGACTTAGGCGTGCGCACAAGGGGGGCGGGGTGTTATCCCCTTTTATTTTAAGGGGGGGGCACCATCGTCAACATCATCAACCTTTCTACTTCAATGACACGTAAAGATCTCTCCTACGTTTCTCGAATCAACCAGGTCCTATGCTTGCTGCAGCTACATCATCTCCGCAAACTGCTTAATCTTATCTAACCACCTAACTTTCTAACCTCGTTTCCGTTGACTTAACCTTTCTCTCTCTCTGCCTTCCCCTCACGCACTAAGACTCGTATTCACAAACAAACATTACCTATATCTCGCGTATTCTAAATCTGTTTCATGCCTTTGCATCATTTGATAAACAGAGTAGATCGGTATTAACAAATCTATTCTGTAGTTGTCCGTGTTCCTGTGACCTTATAACGCGCGAGGGTACAGGAGCTCAAGGAAAACTTTGGATAAGTGCGAAGTTAGTTAACGGATTTGAGTTTAAGCCTGTCCTATGTACCTCTACTCAGTCGGACATGTATCGTCATTACTAAAATTGCAAGGCTATGACCATGCGAGTTTTTGACAAGAAAGGCCACCACAGACTTCCCGATGTTGCATTCGAGGAGCTGTTTACTTTCCATTTTTGACCCCCTAAACACCTAGATGAAAAACAACCCGAGAGGAGGGTACCTCGGTGAAATTACGTCACCTCTAATGAAACATTTTGGCCGTGCATATACACATAGCCATAAAAACATACCTATTAATAGACTTTGGCATTCGATTCATCATTATGACGAAGACCAACTGATATGTATCTCCGCAAAAATTGGGTGAAGAGAATAACCAAACTAGCGTGATCAACAATTAGTAAATGAATTGCCTTATGGATAGTGAATAGGATTAAAACACATCTTTCTACAATGAATGTTAACCACGAGAAGATTGCTTAGATGTAGACAAAAAAAAGCGTAGGTGTTGGAGCCTATAAATGGAATTGTTTCATTCCTTGTTTTTCTTTCATTCGCGGGTGAACTTTGAATAGAAGCGTAATTCTGCCTAGAACACTAACCGGTGTTCTATATAACAGCACATAGGGACAGAACAATACTACGCTGCGTGCAAGATGTAACAATTAGGCCCAAAGCAAAGAAAGCAAGGACGAGCTAGTTTGTACAATCTGCACCGACGTGCCCCGATATTCAAACCAGGAAGCGCCGCTTGGTCAGGAGCGACCGTCCTGACTGCGAAGGTTGGCGAGCGGGCACAAGGACGTGGTTAGGCGCGTGCGCGGTTAAGCCAGGCTCTCAATTTACTTAACGTGTGTCCGCGCTGCTCCGCTATTACAGCCATAAAATTTGGTTTTGCTTGTACGAGGTAGTGACCTGGATACTAAAATGACAGTAATCGTAGGCCTGTGTGGACAATGGTGTTTTCACAACAGGCTTACTAGGTAGGCGCGACTAGGCATCTACAATATTTTATGCTTGGCCACTCAACGCAAATAAAAAATGCACTGCTTTGTGCTCAAGTTTGTGCATTTCGGTGACGGTGAATGAACCTTCCGCTTTCTTGAAAAACTAACATATGAATGAAGCACTGACGAGTAGCGGTCACGGCTTTAAAATTTATTGCAATGAGCTCTGGGTCGTCCGGTAGGGTGGCGGAGTGGCCGATAGGCTTGGCCTGCCATTACCAACGGGGGAGTCGCCCGCTGCGCGCGAACGTGCGTCTTCCAGGACATCAATAAAGTTTCGCAGCCGCTTATATTTCCACAGAAGAAAAAAAAAAGACACTACAAAATATGTTACAGCTGAATAGATTGGTTAGTTTAGTGCCCCCATGAAGTCAAGATTTACATATTTCGTAACAATCTTGAAGGCATTGCAAAAAAAAAAAAAAAAACAGCAGACTGCTTGCTTCCACAGAAAGCTATAGTTGTCGAAACGCTTATCAATCAATTTTACATTGCGTTTTATCTCTGTATCCTTTCCCAGATAACCGTTCGTTTGGGAAACAAACCTGAATACTACTTGCATGGCTGCGATTTTGCTCGTAAATGGCAAATAAAGTTTTATTCGTGCAATTTACTATGTTTACTATCCTAGGACCTTTTGTCCTGAACGTAAGCATTATTTGTACCTATATAAGGTGAAGGTTAACGTATATAGGCAGAAATATCTATGAGTGTCTGCTAGGACATTCCTTAGCGACATGAATCATGATCAACTGTCTATAAAGTAGTAGTCATATTTGTATAGTATTATGCCAAGGATCTGGAGACCAAGTTGAAAGCGAGGGGTAGTGTTGAAATAATTTATATTGTATCTTACAGCACTTAACTTGGATCACGACCTACATGCGTATCTAATTATTGTACAGTGAGACATGCCATATTTCTGGAAAATCCAAATCTAACAATCCACCCAAAACCCTAACTGCATGCGATAGCTATCTGCTGGCTGTGAGAACTCATACACAAAAAAAGTTAAAGAAATATTCTCATTTTTCTGCAGAAACACCCATGGCCAAAGTCACGCTAAACACGGTACTACATTCCTCGAAGAGACCGCGTGAAGCAAAATAATTCAACCGGAAGTCATGTAATGCAACTTAAGGAACCAAGAATGCTTGATTTATTATTAGCTCAGTGCTCTTGGTCTCTTCCATGTAAAAGTGCACGTAAATGGCAACAGAAGGTCACCTCCGAGTGAGGACGCCACGTCGCAAAGGGATTAGCCAGAGACCATAGTGGTGATTACGGTGTTCTTTTAAGCCGCCGAGTCGTGTCTGAGAGGCAATTTACCAGAAGCAGCCTTTTGAGGAAACGTGGCAAATCCAGGCGACAGCCGATAACGTTCACCAGGCTATAAGTGCGCTGCCCAGTGTCTACTTCAATGGACTTCGGCATATCATTCAGAACAAGCGTGACCCCACGGGCCGAGAAAAATAATGCTATTTAAGTAATGTTTTATAGTGCCCCCCAGTAACCCCTGAAGAAGGGCCCGTTTTTTAAAGTAAAAAATATGTATTTACTTCTATTCACCACTTTGGTTGGTGGCACTGTTTCAACCATAAGTTCTTTCCCAACCAAACACAATTCTGTCCAATGTTCACATCTAAAGCACCGGGAAATGGGTAAAAGTACACGTACCGTGGTCTTTTCTAGACACCTGAGAAGGTGGTGGTGTTGCAGCTCGAAGATGTCCTCGGGACTGTCGTCCAGATCCTGGCCGCTCTCCTGGGCCGCCAGTCGCGCTTCGACCGCTTTCTTCTTGCTCACGAACGCCGCACCGCTAGTCGCCTTGGCGATGCGGATTCGCGCCATCCGTGCTTTCTGAAATGCGTGAAAAACACGCCGCAAGGTCGATAACCTCGCACAAGACCTCACGATGATGGTGCGGTGTGGCCCAATGAGCCGCGTTCATTGTCTCGTGCCGCTCTCGTCCCGTTTGGAACGGAAGCGGAGATTTGCGGGGGGATCCAGACCAAGTGGTATCGCGAGAACGAAACCCTCCGAGATCTAAAGTCATCCGGAGACCTTAACTCAGTGTCTCGCGACCTTCCCGCCAGGGGAACGCGGCATGCGCCGTGGTGCAGAGAAAAGATGGATTGGTACATACTAGCCAAAGTCTATCAAGAACATGCGAACGGGCCAAGGAAGGACTTCATACGCTGCGTTTAAAGGGGACCTGCAACACTTTTCCTAGCAACCATCGAATGGCCTCATGTATCGACCACCGTAAAAAAATTTAAGAGTCCATCAAGTAGGAGTGGACTCACAGAGATTTGCTGCAGAGTGCAGTTGCGTTCTTTCTTCCCTCATTTTGACGAGTGCGCTGGAAGCTAAGCAGACAGGGATGACGTAGAGAGAATAAACTACGACCACGTTTGTCATGACCTTGAGCATATTTTCTTTTCTTTTTTTTTCTTCAAACGCGCGACACTTACATTCAGTTTGATCGCAAGCGGATGGATGGATGGATGGATAAGGCTGTACCTTTTAGAACGGGCGGTGGCTAGCGCCACCAAGCCGTAATACTTAATGAACCAAAAACTAGATTAATTTTTTTTCTTTAAAAAGTGAGTTTGAGGATTCGTACTTTGCAGTGAAGGGTTTAATTTTCACTCGTGCCTTGACTTTAGCCACCAATCAGATAACCTCCTTCTAGTTAAGTCTACCCGCTTAAAGTCTATTTTGCCCTCCCGGTCCCTAAACCCCATTGCTTTGAAAAACTCTGCGCCATCATCCTGAACTATAGGGTGAAGCCCTTTACAGAACATTATCAAGTGTTCGGCAGTTTCTTCTTCCTCTCCACACGCACTGCATACTGTGTCTACCCCTTCGTATTTGGCCCGATAAGTCTTGGTTCGCAGTACTCCCGTCCTGGCCTCAAACAGTAGAGAACTACCCCGAGTATTATCATAGATCCTTTCCTTGGAAATTTCCTGCTTAAAAGTTCGATAGATCTCTAGTGCGGACTTCTTAATCATGCCCATTCTCCACGTGTCAGTCTCCGTTTCCTTCACTTTCTTCTTAACCGATAGTTCTTTTTGGTTTGGCCACCTGCTGTTTTCTAAGTATTTACCAGTCAATTTCCTGGTTCGCTTCCTCCACTTTGTATCGACATTCTTCATGTACAAGTAGCTGAAAACCTTCCTAGCCCAACGCTCCTCCCCCATTTCTCTCAATCGCTTCTCAAATTTTATCTTGCTGCTAGCTTCCCTGCCCTCAAATGATGTCCATCCCATATCACCTTGTACTCCCTGATTTGGTGTATTCCCGTGAGCTCCTAAAGCAAGCCTACCTATTCCACGTTGCTTAATTTCTAATCTTGCTTGAACTTCTGATCTCATGCACAAGACCGCATTGCCAAACGTCAGACCAGGAACCATGACCCCTTTCCATATTCCTCTCACAACATCATACCTATTGTAATTCCACAGTGCCCTATTTTTCATCACTGCTGCATTCCTGTTACCTTTAGTCGTCACGTATATTTCGTGTTCCCTCAGGTACTCGGTCCCATTGCTTATCCATACGCCCAGATATTTGTATTTATGTGTTATCTCTAGCGTGACCTCCTGTATTCTAAGCTCACTACCTTCGTTGTCACTGAAAATCATGACTGCTGATTTTTTCTTACTGAATGTAAAATCTAACCTATCTCCCTCATTACTGCAGATGTCCATCAATTTCTGGAAATCTTCCTTGTTGTTGGCCATTAGCACTATATCATCCGCGTACATTAATGCTGGTAGTGCCTGATCAACGAGTTTTCCTTGTTTGACTAAAGAGAGGTTGAAGCCCAGTCCACTTCCCTCTAATTTGGCCTCTAATCCTTGTAGGTACATCACGAATAATAAGGGTGACAGGGGACACCCCTGCCTAAGCCCCCGTTTTACCTCTGCAGGCTTGGATACCTGTTTTTCCCACTTTGTTACTACCTTGTTACCTTTATAGGTAACAAGGTAGTTACCTATATAGGTAACTACCTTGTTACCTTTATAGATATCCTTTAAAAGATTAGTGACTACATGTTCCACGCCTAGTGTGTCCAGTATTCTCCACAATTCCTCTTGAACCACGCTATCGTACGCTCCCTTGATATCCAAAAATGCTAGCCACAGGGGCCTGTGTTCCTTTTCTGCTATTTCGATGCACTGTGTCAGTGAGAACAGATTCTCTTCCAACCTCCTGTGTTTCCGAAACCAATTCTGCAGTTCCCCCAGCACCCTCTCGTCCTCTATCCATGCCTGCAGTCTTTCCTTTATAATCTGCATCGCCAGCCTGTAGACCACTGATGTCACTGTTATATGACGGTAGTTGTTTATGTCAGCTTTGTCCCCCTTTCCTTTATAGATCATGCTCATCCTGCTAAGTTTCCATCCATCGGGAACTTCACCATCGATTATTATTTTGCTCACTGCCTCTCTCAAAGCCTGCTTAGACTTCGGACCTAATGTCTTTATCAGCATAATTGGAATGCCATCTGGGCCTGTTGATGTACTACTAGGAACCCTTTTCTCAGCCCTTTCCCACTCTGGTTGTGAAAATGGAGCCATTGCACCACTTGATTCGTCCTTGTCTATTGTGGTGCATAAAGTACTTCTTTGTTGAAATTTTTCTGTCACCCTTGTTCTTATATATTCAATAGCTTCGTCCCCTTTTAGCCTAGCACCTTGGGCTGTAGTTATAAAACTCTGCTCTAGGCTCGTCTCATTTCTTAGGGAGTTTAGATGGTTCCAAAATTTCGCAGCTGCCTTTATATCTTTTTTATGTACTTCTGCCAGCCACTGAGCTCCCTTTCTTCTAATCTTTTCATTGATCAGAAGGGATGCATCCCTTCTACAGCTTAGAAAGGTTTCCCATTTTCTTTCCACATCATCTGTCGGTTCACCCTGCTGCTTAGCATGTCTGTGTTCCCTAGAGGCTTCATGACGTTTTGCTATGGCTCTCTTAACTTCCTCATCCCACCAACTTTTGGGTTTGTGTCTTCTTTTCCGGGGTGACTTGTCACGCTTCTTAGCAAGCTCTAGCTCAAACAGTCTAATTAGATTTGTGTATGTCCACACTGTCTTATTATCCTCCGTGATTACTTTCTCAATTTGTTTAGTGGCTTTTTCGATTTGCCTTTCTGGATAAAAATTTTCCTGTAGTTGCTCATCTTGTCTCCTTCCCACTTTCACTGCTCTTCCAAAACTTAGCTTGATACGTTTGTGATCACTACCCAGACTTCTGGAGCCATTTTCATCTATGTGCATTCCCCTGAGCTTATCATACATCCTATGTGACATCAGTGCATAATCTATCGTCGACTGTAGCCTTCCTACCTCCCATGTTATTTGCCCTTCACACTTCTCGGTACTGTTGCAAATGATCAAATCAATCCTTTCACACATATCCATGATCATTTTGCCTGTCGGGTCGGTATACCCATCTATATGTTCTATGCGCGCATTCATGTCTCCTAGTAGAATTATCTCGCACTCTCTTCCTAACTCCTGAATGTCCTTTGATATACACTCTACCATTGCCTGGTTTTCCTCTCTGGCCTTTGCTCCCGTCCACAAGTACACGAAACCAAGGAGTGTCATTTGACCTGCCACTTTCCCTTTTAGCCATAAATGTTCCTTGCACTCCTGCTTGACCCTTTGCCAGTCTGTACTTTTATGAAGGAATGCCCCTATACCACCCCCCTTTCTGCTGCCTTCTGTTCTATTACAATTCAATAAGAGGACGCCACGTGCTCGCGGGCACGTGGCGTCCTCTTGCGGTGGCCTCAGTAACTATGCAAGTAGCGATGGTCAAGCCGTCATGCGGCCATGAAATTCGGAATAAATTGCCTGGTAATTTAGGACTATCACATAATTTACAAAAGGTATGGGAACAATTTCTAGCTGACAGAGAAATAATCGTAAATTCCAGGTCGCGTACTGCGCAACAATGTTTGGTTAACGTGATCCCAGGAGCCTCGACTGCCCACGGGCAGCGTCTTCCGACCATGATTAAAAAGTGTGGCAGAGCTCCTCAAGCTGCGGACCTCTTTTTTTTTTTGAAGATTAAGTGGTCAGATTTAGAAATCCATAAATGCTTTCTGGAATCGTAAAAGGCGCAGTTGAGAAAACATACACTTTAATCAATAGCACCGAGCTTGAACATACTACTCCACACGAATAAGAGCCTATTGTCAATGTCTATTATCAATTATGAAGCCTATTGTCTATAGTGAATGGCTTACGGCTGGGTAGCCATGAACACAATAGGTGCAACGAATACATTCGAATATATGGAATATATTTCACATGTTTGACACTTTTATTTAGTAAAAAGGCGATTATATTGCTAAAGAACAAAAAAAAACATACAAACAGGCTCGATGCTTTAAGAATATTAGACAACAGAGACAGCCCCTCAGTGGTTATTGGTGCTTGTACTGATGATTGAGTGAGGCACCGACTGATACAACAAACCGAGTGAGACAGCAGATCTGCAAAAAGTGCGTTTTTTTAAATATTCATCCTATTGTTAACTTCATCCTGTTTCGGGCTGAGATCGGGCAGGCAGTGACAAGTATTAAAAACATATGATAGCGATTTTAATGGTGTTATAAGAAATAAAATGAACGTGGTAGTTCGGACATTCCTCTCCACGTAAGGCCTTTTCACTACATACGTAAAATAACTTAAGAAGCACGTGCTTGTTATACCTATATGTTCATCTAAAAAGTGGGATAATATAGGCAAGGTTAGAAACAGTGGTTTCCTTTTGGGCAGTATAAAACCTTTGATCATTGAATATGCCAAGGGCCTTCTATAGGTAAGTGCTTATGGTCCATGATGGTCCATGCTCTTTTAGCCGTAGCGAAGGCACGCGAATGCCAAAACTGTTGATCCGTCGCTTAGAATTCGGCGACCGCACGTAGAAAAAAACAGTCTTGTTGGCAGCGAGCAAAAAAAGGAAGGAGAAGATGGACGCTACCTTTTGGGCTTTCCTCTTGTCAGCCCTCTGGCTCTGGTGGTATATGCGGGAGAAGTTGGAGACGATTACTGGGACTGGAAGCGCGATGACGAGCACTCCACTTAAGGAGCACACGCCACCGACGATCTTGCCCGTAATTGTGTCCGGCACCATGTCCCCGTACCTGCATGGTCGAAAAGAGCACGCATTGGTGTCCGAACAAGTGTTGACGTAGTTTGTCGGAAAATTTTCCTACAGGTTGTAGTTACTAACCGGGCTATCTGAGAAATATAGATCAGCAGTAACACTGGTATCGACGCCCTGATTACAGACTTCCCTGCACAACACAGAGAGGCGGTGTATCCTTTCTTGTTGTTTTCTCTAACGGTGCTCCGTTAACTTGGAACATTTTTTTATTCTGGCGACAAAAAAATTGTTCATCAGACCCAGAAGATCTGCATTGTAACTGTACTCGTGAAAAATCAGTCTAATTATTGATTGTCACACCCGTAAATTTATTAATTTTAAACACTTGATATGTTCTTTCAATGTCGTCAGTTTTTTATGCCCATAAGCACGTGTCTATGTCTTGTATATTGTGACGTAATAATTTGGTGCAATATTTGTGTGAGTGTCGCCTTTACAAACGTTGCTTATGCTACGCAATCACATCTACATAAACGGAGGCTTCCAAATCAATCAATATCCCTTTTCCCCTTGATATTTAGAAAAATCATATAGCTTCAGTTCTTGATGAAGCCTATGCGTTTGTATACGCAGACTTGAACCAGGAACATACACAGCCGATGTTGCAGTGACATATATGTTTTTCGTTATTATATCGATGCCTCGTTCACAAGTTAGATAATGGTAAAGTAGCTGTACATATGTGGTTTTCATTCAACAAGAATACTGACGTGACACGGCTTTTTTTTTTTTTTCGAGTACAATGTAGTTTTACAAAACGACACAAGATGTCGCTGTCAGCTATAATACTTGCTTTGCATGGCTCTGGCAGCCTGGTAGTTCACGAACTGTAAGTGATTCATGATCAACCTGAACTGTCAGGAAGAACGAAACGCGTAGACTGGGCCTGAGTTGTTCTGTCAGCTCTCGGCCGTACATTTTAGGGTCATGGGCTTGAACCCCGGGTTGTGAGCTAGATATGGCTGGGGAGCACGAGCCCGGAGTTAGTGTTAACAAGCACCTGTAGAAGCCAAGATCCCAGCTTCGATATCCCGTTGTTTTGGCGAGCACACCGAGCGTAGGGTGTAGTGTAGATACTTGAATCTGTAGGAAACATTCACGGTGGGGGATTGGCCAAGAAGGGAATTGTTTTTATAATAGAATCCTTTAATAAATTGTTAATATCGGTTTACTTAAAAGAAAGATGAAACAGGAAGAATATATTATTAGTTAAATAATAAAATGTGATAGAATAGAAGCAATGAAGTGGCGAAATTAAACTAAAATGAATTCGGAAAAGTAAAAAAAAAAGTTGGAGCAAAGATTGATTGCAACAATTCAATCTCTTCGAACTTATGACAGACTCCTGCAATGCGTCAGAAATCTTCCCATCACTGTGGCCAAGATACAAAACCCCGAAAAAAAGTACGTTTTGCGCGTGAGCACAACCCAAGCTGGTGCTCTTCGTTTTCCTCTGCTCCTACTGGTAGTCGCCAGTAGGAGAAGAGGAGAACCACCTTAAAGCACCATCTGGGGTTCTTTAACGTGGACCCAAACCTGAGGACACGGGCCTACAGAATTTTCGGGAAATTTTAAGTAAAAGGGAGGGAGTGTAATCAGAAAAAAATTTCAGGTTGTAAGGTAAAGAAAAAAAAAAGGAATGTAATGATGACCGGCCGCTTTGCGATGAATCTTAAACGTTAACCTACGCGAGCACCGGCCGCCGAGTCAACTCGATGGGATAGTATTTTTTTTTCTGCATATATATGTCGATTTTGCGCAACCGTAAGCCATATTATGATTCTGGACGTCCGAGGAAGTTCTTTATACCACCGTTCGGGGAGTGGCTACGACGCGTCCATGTTAACGCAACGCTTACACAGCACCTAAAGCAGCAGTAGACAAGCGGGAAACGTGCCCGCCTACCACCAAGTTCGGTTTACACACCTCCTTTTCCTCCTCACTCCCTGTGAACACACACACACACACACACACACACACACACACACACACACACACACACACACACACACACACACACACATACACACACACAAATATATATATATATATATATATATATATATATATATATATATATATATATTGAGACCACGTCCGGTACGGCAGCAACCAGGTTATCTTTTTAATCCAGACGCATGAGCCAGAGAGCCAGCCCGCGTGACATACGATGATGATCACTGCAATGGTTTGGTCATACAGATGAAGATGAAGTACATAGTCAGCGCTCACACTATTTTCCCCCCTTCGCGAAAGAGGGCAGCAAGTTAGAAAGGATTGGGACGCCGAATATATCGTTTCAGTCGAGAGACATGGGCGATCTCGGTGTGGCGGCGACGACGATCAGAAGCCGCGTTGACAGGAGCAACGCGATAGTTGACTTCAGATGTTCGTTCCAGGACGGTGTATGGACCGAGATATCGATGAAGGAATTTTTCGCAGAGCCCAGGTACACGAACAGGTGTCCACAAAAGGACTTCGTCGCCTGGGCGGAACACAACAACTCGACGCTTCGCATCAAGGTCGATTTTTCTCTTGTCCTGAATGGTAGCAGTGTTGGCGCGGGCGATTTCACGGCAGCGGGCGACGCGAGCGGCGAACTCTTCCGGGAGAGATAAAGAAGGATTGGAAGATGTGGACAAAAAGGTGGTGTCCAGAACAAAAGTCGGTACACGGCCATACACGAGAAAAAAAGGGCTGAAATTCGTTGTACGTTGTATGGCAGTGTTATATGCGAACGTGATCATGTCGGACAAAGTTCGGTGAAAACGCTCAGTCAGACCATTAGTTTCTGGGTGATACGCTGATGTGGTCTTGTGGATGGTGTTAGAGGCCTGTAAGACTTCAGCAAGGACATGTGAAAGAAATGTCTTGCCACGGTCACTAAGGAGCACACGCGGTGCGCCATGTCGTAAAATAATGGCGCGAAGGAAAAAATCGGCTACTTCAGAGGTAGCACCAGATGAAAGAGCTGCCGTCTCCGCGTAGCGAGTAAGGTGGTCTACGGCAGTAACAATCCAACGGTGACCGGCTGGCGTAAGCGGAAGAGGTCCGTATAAGTCTATGCCGACAAATTCAAAGGGAGTGGACGGGCACGGCAGTGGTTGCAATGGCCCCGCGGGAAGAGACGTGGTACGTTTTCGGTGCTGGCATGACGCGCAGGAAGCGACGTACTTGGCGACAGAAGTGGAGAGGCCAGGCCAAAAGCAGCGAGTCTTGAGGCGGTCGTAGGTCTTGTGGAACCCTAAGTGGCCAGCTGTCGCATCGTCATGAAACGCTTGTAGAACTTCCAGACGAAGTGAGCGAGGAATGACGGGAACCCATTGGTTACCCAGAGGATGGTAAATTTGCCGACATAATGTTCCCTCTTGAAGCTTGAAACGGGCAAGTTGTCGTCTTAGGCGGCTGTTTGGAGCACGCGATAAGCCAGTGAGCCGATCGATGATTGTGCGGTAGTAGGTATCGGCATGTTGGAGCGAAGCGAGGTCTGTGGACGAAAGAAGGTCCGCCGAGGCAACTAACTGTTTCGAAGCAGCAGCCGTCTGTTTGGTCACTTTGGTGGGCGGCGACGAACAGATGGAAGGTGATACTTCGGCGCTTTGCGAGAGCGGGCAACGTGACAAAGCGTCGGCATCTTGGTGCTCTCGACCCGACCTATATGTGACGCTGTAGTCATACTCTTGCAATCGTAGTACCCAACGGGCAAGGCGTCCCGACAAATTTTTGAGAGACGATAACCAACACAGAGCATGATGGTCAGTCACTATTGTGAAATGCCGGCCGTATAAATGAGGGCGAAACTTTTGTACGGACCACACGATGGCGAGACATTCTTGCTCAGTGATGCTGTAGTTTCGCTCAGCAGGTGACAGAGTACGGCTCGCGTAGGCCACGACTTGTTCTTCGGAAGCATGGTTCCGCTGAAGAAGGACAGCACCGATGCCAAGTCCACTTGCGTCAGTGTGTAGCACAGTAGGTGCTGCAGGGTCAAAATGGTGAAGCACTGGCCGTGATGTGAGGCATTGCTTGAGGGTGTGAAAAGCGGCTTCGCAGTCATCCGACCAGACAAAGGGTGCGCTCGTGGTCAGAAGCTTGTGCAGAGGAGCCGCAATAGTAGCGAAATCACGTACAAAGCAGCGGAAATACGACGCTAAGCCAAGGAAGCTGCGGAGGTCTTTCTGTGTGGTTGGTGTAGGAAAGTGCAGTACCGCGGCAACCTTGTCGGGATCGGGCTCAACGCCATGTTTACTGACGACGTGACCCAATACCTTGATGCTGTGACTGGCGAACCGACACTTCTTAGTGTTGAGCTGGAGACCGGCCTTAGCTAAACACGTGAGGACTTCGTCTAGCCGTTCCAGGTGCTGTGAGAAGCTGGACGAAAAGATGACAATGTCGTCCAGGTAGCAAAGGCAGGTCTTCCATTTTAAAATCCCCGCAGTACCGTGTCTATCATCCGTTCGAATGTGCTCACAATATATATATATATATATATATATATATATATATATATATTATATATATATATATATATATATATATATAATATATATATATATATATATATATATATGTATATATATATATATATATATATATATATATATATATATATATATATATATATATATATATATATATATATATATATATATATATATATGAAGGTATGGGATATGGCACAATGGGAGCGTTGTCAACAAGGTTAAATATATTTATTTCCCAACAGTTTCGGGTTTCGGGAGGGGTCCGCCCTTCATCAGGGGATGAGTATAAGAGTATAACTCATCCCCTGATGAAGGGAGGACCCCTCCCGAAACTGTTGGGAAATAAATATATTTATCCTTGTTGACAACGCTCCCATTGTGCCATATCCCATACCTCCACGAAGACTAACTGGCCCATTGAGTTATTACTCCCACTATATATATATATATATATATATATATATATATATATATATATGG